CTCGAGAACATCCAGCGGTGTCGCCAAAATTCTCGGAGCCCATTCTGTTCTGGCCCAACTTTGGCGAAATTGGCCGGTAAAATTGAGGGGTAAAATAATGAACCAGTCAAATAGGAAGATTCTCTGAGATTGGCCTCAGTATTTTGCCATTCTCAGAGTCACCCGCGAAGTGGTGGGATAAAGGGAAACCACCCCGGTCTCTGACTTTGATAACCAGTAGAAACGCTGAAAATAACGGCCCCGGTGGGATGACCCCCAAAACGGGACGGGGGGGCGGGGGGGCGGGGGGGTGTCCCTTCTGCCTTCCATGCCAACGAACCGCTTAAAACCTTGGTGCGCCTGACAAACGGCCAGCATGAAGACTGACCATGGTCCAATAGCGGAAGAGAAATCCAGCCCCTCGAAAAGCGACTCATGCTCATTGCTCACTGACCATCCTTCAGCTTCCGCCTAGGTGGCCGGTTTGGTTTGGAGTTTCGTGGATTTCCCGTTTACCCTCTACAAGAAGGGGTTCAAATCCCGAAACCAATTCAAACCACCAATTACCAAGTACGAAAAACTTGACCTGAATTTTGGAGGTTCCCCATAAAAGCAAATGGCAATCTGTCCCGCCTGTGGAAGATCTTGCCCCTCTGGCGACGCATCCTTGCAGCGATCACTGCTGGTGCCACTTGACAGGAGGTCCCAAGCGCCACGCAACATCATTTTGGGGCAGACTCATATTTCAGGTACCATAGAAGTGCATAAGAAGTCGCTATCCAAAAAGGCAAGCGGTCTTTCAAAGGTCCGTTCCATGTTGGGCTGGTGTGTCTGCCCTTCAGCCCTTTCGAACTCAGCTTGCCCTGAGCCTACCTCCCGCATCACCGGAGGCCAGACCTGCGGCATCGCGGCCCATACGGCGCCCCAGCCACTTGCTCCCAAAAACCGAAGTCCCTTCGCCTCAGTGTGTATGTGTTGTGTACCGAAAAACCGATGGAGCCCCCAAAAATCTGGCTGCGGGTCAAAAAAATTAGATAACCCCAAAACTGGCTTGCCCTGGCACATGGGAAACATGGACTTCGATTTCTGCGGTCCAATTCCAATTCCTGTTGGCTAGATTTTTGACCCATACCCCAAGAACCCCGATAAAAACTAAACCATACCATTCCTGTTGGTTTAGTTTTTGGTTTAGTTTTTAGTTTTGGGTTTTTTTGACCCATGCCCAGATCGTTTCTCACCCCCAAAAACCGCTGGATTCCACGGGTCCCGAAGAGCTCGAAACTTTGGACCGGAGACGTCTCGCGCCTCGCCCGACAGCGTCGCAAGCCTCGGCCGGACCAAAAATCACCCGGAGCATCCACAAGCCACCCATCCAAACCAACCGAGAGATTACCTGCTTAACCACCCATCCAAATCAATTTAGGAAAGCCTGACCAGTCATAGTTGTCCTTTTTGGAAAATAGATGGCCTGCCTGATGAAACAACCAGGTCGGGCCATCTATTCTCTACCGACACCTATGTGACCCGTGGAAATTGCGAGCTTGCCACAAAGCCCAAAGCGCACCACAGGCGATGCACTTTGGCCCGACTTTTCGGATGCCTTTTTGAGCCGCAGGCCCCGCGACTGCCCGGACGCCACGCTCCTCCTGGAAACATCAAGGACGCTAGAAATTCCAAGCCGCAAAATCCAAAGAAAAGGATGAACAGGGATGAACAAAATGAACAGGGATGAACAGAAATTAAAGACCTTTTCAGAAAACAAGGATGAACAGGGTCCCGCCCTGTTCATGTCTGCCCAATCAAGGAGCCAAATCAGATTTGGCTTGGTTTGCTATAAGAGTCTTTGAGGCAGCTGGAAACCAACAAAACTACACCGTAACTCTGTGATGGTGCAATGCCGCCCATTCAACGACGCATGGTTGATCTGAAACAAAAAAAAGTTGCCTCCTGTTCCAACACTTCATAGGCACCTTCGTGCACAATGGTCGTTAATCTGAGGCTCAAAATGACAAGCTTGCTGGACGGCTGAAATCGACGGACGGGATCACGCCTTCGCCGTCGCTGCACTCTGATTCACTTGCATGCTCTTGCGAGTCAGCGGTTTCATGTGGGCATTCCCAAAAACAAAGGACACCCGTTTTGAATTGTGCTTGACAGGAGAACCAAACGTAAACCACCAAAGACTTGTAGGGCCCTTCGTATACAGGGGATTGTCCTGAAATCAGGGACCCCATTTCGGTTGGCTGCTTCGAACAAATCGGGGACTTTCTTGGCTGAACTGCCTGGGGTTGTCCCCCACAACATGGACGTCGATCGAGACAACCCCTTCGGAGTCCTCAGCCTCGCCTGCAACATGAGACCCTCTCTCTCAAGAACCAAGCCATCCAGAAGCGTCAATGCTTCTTTGCTGCCAAGGAACCTCTGGAGGAAAAAACAAAAAGGGGCAAGAGGAACGCGTTGCTTCACAAGCTGCCAACCTGCTGTCCGGTGCCTTGCACTGCTGGCTTGCACAAGGACAAGTTGCGTGTGGAGCAAGCCAAAAGGCCTCTTGACCTGCCATTTAAATGGAGGCTTCTAAGAAGGCCCATATGGCCACGGGTCAAAACCCAAATCATACCCAGTGAACATCCCAATCCAACCACTAAAATAGGTCCTAAAATGGGTGGTGAATTCACCTATCCCCCAAAATGGGATCCCAAAACAGTTTTGAACCATGGCCGATACGTTTCACCAAGCGCATGGGACGTCTGCCGTGGCCTGTCTTGGGCTTCTTCTTTTTCTTCGGCTTCAGCGCCTGTGCGCAAGGCACTCTTAAGTCCTCGACTGAGACTCTGTGGAGACCAGCCGGGTGGGTCTTTTTTTCGCGGGTACCCGCTTTCTGGCAGTGTTGAGGAAAACCAGAAGGAGAACCACCATTCAGGGGGTCCACTAAAAAGAGACGCACCCAACTGCTACCAGAAAACCAATCATTATAGAGGAAAACTACAGGGCTTCAGCCGCGTACCAACATCCTCAATCCTCTTGCCAGTGATGAAAAAACGGCGAGATACACTCTTTAACCCTCAATGTGATGAAAGTGTGTTGGGGGCCGCCTGCAAACATACTCACAAAGAAAGCTGGACAGTCAAGCAAGGCAAGGATCTCTAACCCGTCTTGTCCACCTGAACGGTCCCCCAACAAGTGGTGGTTTCCACCAGAAGCAAAGCAAATGGCTCAAATGGCCGAACTGTATCTATCTGGGCTGTTCAAAATGGAGGGTTGGCCAATCCTAATCCATAATCCCTGTAGGAAAGCCACTACAAAGGGGACCTCTTGCGTAACCCCAGGTAAGGATTAAGGATTACCTTTGAACAGCCCAGTCTATTCAGAAACTCTACTGGACTTTCCAGGACCTCGTGCATGCGATGCCACGGCAGCCTTGGCGATGTCAGCATCGGCGGGCTCGGGCGGTGGCACCTGAGACAACCGATATTCAGAATCAAGGTAGAACGACCTCTGACAAAGTTGGCGGAGCTTTGCAGGTTCACATCCCACGGGCAGTACAAATGGCATGGCATCAATCATCAGCAATCCATTCGGGCAGCAAAGCTACACCTCAGCGGTGTACGAGCGTCATCCTGAATGGTCATCCGTGGAACGGCTGTTCGAGCGGTGATAACTATCCCTGTTGAACGTACTGCAGGGATCCATCCAGGCGTTGCATGAAACTCCTTTCACGGCGTTAAAAAAAAAAAAAACGGCTCCGAGGGTGGGCAGTTCTTCGAGTTCCTCGGTTTGCTACATCGGAAAGGCCGCGCAGATTTCGCGGAGCCTGGTGGCCGTGCCCCAGCCAACTTCGTGGACCTCTTAGTCATGCAAAATCTGAGCTTCCGTCAGGGTCCGCTTGCCATAGATGTCCGTCATGTTTGACAACCCGAACCTTTCCCGCCGACTTTCACGCACTGTTCGCGCCTAGCCGCATCAAACCAAAGGCAACAGCTCCCTTGTCTGAACCCTGGTACGTTCGCAAAGATGGATGGAACCCCAAAGAACAAACTGAAAAACCCCACATGCCAATCCCCCCCCAAACCAACCCAAACTCAACCAAAACCCAACCAAAACCCAACCCAACCCAAACCCGCTCCCATCTCCCACCCACCTGGGGCACCACAGGGCTGGGCTTCTGAGGGCGCACGACCTGAGCTAGCAGTTGATCCTTTCGCGGAAAGCGATTGGAGACGTGGAAGCACACGCCGGTGGCCGAGTTGAGATTGAAAAAATCAAGCAACAAAAATCGGCCAAGAATAGCCGGTTGCCTGGGACCCCATGACCCCAAAATGAGTGCAAACAGGCCGACAAGAGCAATCATGCCTCTGGCCAAACAAAAATACAAGAGTTGTTGCAGCATCGCAGGCCTTTCTGATTGAGGGAAGGCTTAGAAAAGGGCGGTGGTGCTCATCGGTTGCTTCCCGCTGTGCTTTGTGCTGCCGTCTGCAGGGTCTATTGCGAGACCTTGCAAACTGCCAAATGGCTTGCCCGCATTGGCCATGCCACATCAAAAAAACGGGCGTGGCGGTCCCCAAAACTCCACCCCTCGGGTCACCGTGCCGGCACAGGCACCTGAGCAGCTCGGAAGACGCGGATGGATCGAAGCTCTTAGTCTCCATGTCTGGTGACGAAAATCGACGAACAATTTGGGAAAATGGAATGGCTGCCGTCAACATCTTGGCATCCTGGTGAAACCAACCAAAGGCTCCTCCAATTGCTCCCTCGAATACAAACAGGCGGTGCTCTTTCAACAGACCAGCGGCGTCCAGTGCGCTTTGGCGGACACGGGGTGAGACAAGGAACGTCTTGAGGAGCCAAGCGCTCAGTCTGGCTTGCCGATGCCCGGGCATCGGCAGCCGATTTCGGCAGAATGCCACATGGTAATTATGTCCAACTTTGGGAACTTGACAGCCTGTGGTAACGTCCATATGAGCCATAATCAAAACCTCGAATCAAAATGGTCTACCCCGAACCAAAAAAACATACTTGAAATATGCCCTGCTTCGTCTCGCTTGCTTCGTTTTTAAGAGCCCTCCAAGGGCTTTCCAGGATTTCCACCGGCCCTATGCTCAGCCACTCTTCTTGAAAGCTGGCTGAGGGACCCATTTTTGCCGCGAAGCTCAGACCTGCTCCGAGTCGGCATGGAGCAGCGGGACGGCCCCGCCATAGTGCCCGCCAACATAGCGATGGAGATGCACCACGTCGTCCGCATGATGGATGTGGCTGTCTGGGCGGACGAGGCTATGGTCATGTCCCATGTCGTGGCCATAGGTGTAGTGGTGATAATGACCACCGGGGCAGCCCAACTTGTAGTGGGCACAGCACCAGTGCTTCTTGGCACCCGACCATCCCGCATCCCAGTTAGACAAACCCGCATGACAGTCATAGGGGTCATGGGATCTGGGACAGCCAAGCTTGAAGTGCACGCAGCAGTACTGCTTCTTGGGGTCTGACCAGCCTGCCTCCCAGTTGCTGAGCCCCGCGTGGCAGTCATATGACCCCCCTTCCACACATCCGCGATGGAAGTGCGAACAGCACCAAGACTTCTTGGGATCCGACCAGCCTTTCTGCCAGTTGGAATAGCCCGCGGAGCAGTCGTAGGGCATGTGCGAGCAGCCCTTCTGCTCATGGGAGCAGCACCACGACTTCTTGGTGGGCGACCACCCTGCCCGCCAGTTGGTGAACCCGGCGTCGCAGTCGTAGGCTGCCTGCAATTTGATCAGAGCCGCCTTCTGACTTCCAAACTTCCGACTTGGAGAAACGGGACGAGTGCAAAACGGGAACTGGCAATGGGAAGTCTGGTCCATCCTCCGAAGATTTGGGGGGGGGGGACAAAGATGAGCAAGCAACCAGCAACCTTAGCTCCAAGCCTCGATATTGGCCTCCGGACCAATCAGTTTGACCAAGGCTCGGCAACAAAACCCAGCCACAAACCGGCCAACAATCGAGCAACCAAGCCAAATTCTCGCGCTTATCACCTCAAACCCCCCCCCTAACCCCCCCCCCACCCCACGCCCCGCCCAAGTGCTTCCGGCCTGCGGAACGCAGCCCTTGTGCACGTGGTCGCAGCACCAGGACTTCTTCCCCGAGGACCAAAGGTCCATCCAGTGGGAAAAGCCCACCTGCTCAAGGAATGGATCAGTTGAGTTGCTTTTGTGTTGTGTGAAATCCAGCATCAAGCCAGCCTTCCCATAAGACGAAACTTCAAACCAGTCCACCTCAAACCTGTCCATCCCAAATCTCTTAAATCTCTTTGTGCATGCGGCAAGGCTCGATTCTGAGGCACCCAAAAAGAACTGGGTCCAGGTCCCTGAAGACCAGCTCATGACCAATCAGCCCTTTTCCCCGCTCCCCTACAACCCAAAAAGGGAAGGGGGGGAAAACCTAAAAAGAGATTTCTCTGAAAACCCTGGTTTTGTCGGAATTACTCTGTGTGTCTCCTCCCAATGTCCAAATTCCGCTGTTTGGCATAGGCACAGGCTTTTTTTGGGCGTCCCTTCCGAACAAATCCCGTGTCGCCTTTTGGTGTCTCCCGTTCGACCGAACAAATACTCACTTCCCGAGCGCATGGCTCAACAACTATTTGCCACTAACACGGTCCAAACCCAAAAAGTAGAAAGTCCAGGACTTCGGGAAGTGAGAACATGATTAGAGTTCGGCCCAGTTATGGAATCTATGTTGTATTGTTACATGGTTTGCTTCAATTTGAGTCACTGGTAACATGCAAAATGTATCCTAAGTCTACTCCAGAGAAGCTCAAAAAACCGTTTGACCGCGGTCTCGACGCGGTCAAAGGTCAAAAGCCGCGCCTCGCAGTCGTAGGGCGCCGAGGCCACTTGGCAGCCCAGGTGCGCGTGGGTGCAGCACCAGGACTTCTTGCCCTCTGACCAGCCCGCTTGCCAGTTGCTGTAGCCTGGCTGAAGACTTTTTTGGCGGCTTTTTGGTCAAAACTCGGGGGAACCACCTGCCAAAATGCTGAAAAAGCTGTGGCGGCTTTGGTCCAAGAATTCTGGGACCACATCCAAAATGCTGAAAAAGCTATGGCGGCCCAAAAAATCGGGGGAACCGGGCGTCCAAGAACGGCGTGCCCGGGTCAACTTCCATTTGGTGAAGGTCCCAGGAAACATAAGAATTTGTCCAGTAGTGATAGATTCCCTTTAAAACCAACAAGGGAAATAAAGCAAAATATTCTTAAGCAAATGGAGGTAAATGGAAACATGGACTACGACCTGCGGTCCGCTGATGATTTAAGTTTGACTATGCCCAAATGGATGTTTTAAGGTCGGACCCGCCAACATGGTGGGTGTTCCTTTGGGTTTCCCATTCACACCACCAACAAACGGGCACCCTCAAAAAAGAAACACTCATGTGGGTGAGAACGCTTGAAGTTGGCAGGCGGCAAAACCAATGCTTGACTGAGCCACACACACACACACAGGTAACTTTGAGAACCCTCAAAATGTATGGATGTCCCTTTGGTGGACATCATTTCGGTTGGGAGTCATGTCCGCCGGTCCCCAAATTCATGGACAAATAGATACACACATGCTTCTCTTCTGATCATGACAACATATGGCTTCTAAGTACCCAAGCCCCTTCGCATGACTTATGCTCTTGTATTCACCCTTTCCGTGATACCAAAGTTGAGAAGTTGATCGCAGGCGCTGCCCAACTTCCGACATACCGCCATCTTGAGCTGACTTCGATCAGTCCCAAAAGGGGGGATCCCAAAAGGGGCGAAGCACTTGCCTGTTGTGACAGGGATCCTTAGATACACCTGAACATTGCAACGTGTAAATGGTGGTGTCCACTCATTTTGGTGTTGAAAAAGCAACATGTTTCAAATGGTTGCAAAATGTATCTTTTAAGGAGCCCTGTTGTAGGCTGATGTATAAGTATCATGAAGTGACCTCGGCTTGGAGCGGGTTTTCCTCGCCTCGCAAGCTTTTGAGTTGGGATGGGCGGGGCGCCAAAGGCCAGTCTGAAGCTGGCCCGAGGGCCTTTGGGTCCCTTCCCAAACCCTCGGAACGGCTCCGGTCCCCGGACTCCCCCCACATGCGGAACGGTCGGAAAGTCCAGAGATTTACAGAACACCACCGACCACTCGCCCTCGTTGAGAAACCCCATGGTCACTCTACACGTCTCCATGGGGGTTTACGTCTTTTTGAGCACGAAACCAGCTCCAGGAACCCACACTTCCAGGTACTGGTGGGCTTTTGGGCATCACTTCTATTTTTTTCACCGGCCCTTTACAAACCCAGCAAAAGCGGGGTTGGCACCCTCCCAAAAAAACATGGCCGACCGCTCGTTTCACTCGTTTTTCACTCGCCGCCCTCCGCCGTTCGTCGCCTGCGTTGCAGTCGTAGGGCAGCGACACGGGCACGCAGCCGCGGTGCGTGTGCTCGCAGCACCAGGCCTTCTTCGAGGCGGACCACCCCGCGTGCCAGTTGGAGAACCCCGCGTCGCAGTCCTCGGGCGGTCGGAATGGTCCGGGGCTCGGTTTGGCCGAGCCAGCGAGCGGAAAACGGCCAGGCGCAGGCAAGCGCGCAAAAGAGAGGGAGAGGCGCGGTGGGTTTCTTGTTTGTGTTGTTGTTGGGTTCTTTTTTGGGGGCGGCGTGTCTTCGGATCTTGGTTGTTTTTTGAGGGTAACTGGCTTTGGGGAAAAGGGAAAACCGCGAGTTTTTTGGGCTTGCCCGGCTTGCGTGAAAAGACACTCTTTTTTTGGAAGGGGGGGTCGGGGGGGTCCCCTCAAAAAAGACCCCCCACCAAGGGAACCACGTGACTCTTGCTGCTTTGGCAACAGCCACATACTGCAACTGACAGCGAAGAATTGCAAGGCGCAATGCCGATTCAAATCAAAACGCCCAAGAAACCTTGCCTTTGAACAGCTTGGGCTCTGTAAACAGGCAAACTTGCACCAGTTGCTTGTTCAAATCCATGGACCTAGTGCCCTGCACTTGCAACGCCTGGCATCCCCGTCCCTTCCACCAAGAGGCATAGGGCATGTCGGAGCAGCCCCGGTGGAAGTGCATGCAGCACCACTGCTTCTTGCCCACCGACCAGCCCTTCCTCCAATTGCTCCACCCCGCGTGGCAGTCGTAGGGCATGGAGTGCGGCGGCGGCGGCGGCGGCGACGGCGAGGGCGCCGGGGTCGTTTCCGGGCAGCCAAGCATCTCGTGTGCGCAGCACCACGCCTTCTTCGGGAAGGACCAGCCGGCCTTCCCATTGGGCAAAAAGATTGAAACGGCTGTACCACTGTCCCCCGCCTCCCCAAAAGAAAAAACAAAAAACAGGAGATGGCTTAAAGAATAGCTGTGTAATGTGTAAACAAGGGGATGGCCTTTTTCCGTGCCTCCCAGTTGGAAAGGCCGGCATGGCAGTTGAAAGGAAGGGTCGGATGGTAGTCCGGGCAGTTCACCTGGTAGTTCTCGCAGCACCACAAACGCTTTCCGAGAGTCCAGGTCCCGATCGTGCCGGTGTGGCAGTTGTACGGCATCGTGACGGGGGGCGGGCACCCGAGCCCATAGTTGTGGCAGCACCAATGCTTCTTGCTCGGGGACCACAGCTCTCGGGTGTGGCAATTGAACGGCTCAGTGGTGGGCGGGAGTGTCGGATCATCACAGCCCAGGTTCTGAGCGGCGCAGCACCACGCCCTCTTTGCCTCTGGCCAGACCGCTTGCCTCGCACTGCAGCCACCAAGCAGGGTTTGCCTTGCCCTTCCGTGATGCATCCGTTGAAAGAACACTCATGCTTGTGTCTGAGGCTTACACTATCAGCACACAAAAGTATTGAACAGAAATGTGCGACCGTTGCAAACACCGAATGTCCATGAGGGGGTCTCTGTGAAGGGCAAGTGAGCAAGAAACACAGCTGAAGGGGCTTGCCAAAAACTTGCCTCCTTCCCCCCTCCCGAACCACATGTACGCTCACAACTTCCATCTGCAGCGCCGAGCTGCCACTGGAAGTAGTCATGTGTGCAGTCATACAAATCGGAGTGGCCCACATCTGACCACGTAAACCGCCAAATAACCAAGATCAATCCTGGCATTCGGCTTCACTCCAACTGCCCCTTCTGGCAGTTGCATCGGGACGAATCAAATCGATCGACTCTCCAGCGCGTGAATCCGCAAGAAAGACACCTCGTCAAGCCCAAAGCCACAGGGAGACCATGAGCAACAGTTCAGGCGGCAGATGAAGAATGGTGAGGGAGAAAATGGTGAGGGAGGAAATGGCACAAAGCTACAAGCAGCTTCAACAGCGAAGGTAGATCTCTTGAGCCAACTTGAGAAACAAACAACGAAAAAACCCTTGGCATCGATGTGTAAGCTTTACATTTGGGGCGCGAAAGCACCAATTCAAAGTATTAAATGTGACTACACAACCACCACTCACTTCGCCGCCACCCAAAACTTCCCTGCCCCAGCGCTGCTGTGTTGCTTCTTCTTTTTGCGGAAAGTCCCTCCTTTTGCCGGGGTTTACAGGGAAACCCAAAGGACAACACGGCGGCAAATCCCGATGGTGCTTGTTTTTTTCTTTCAAGGGAAACCCAAAGGAGAAAATTAACGGTTTCCAGGGGCTCCAACACCTGGCTGTGGGGTCAAAAGTATGTACCCAACATGGAATCCTGGTGGACACATGGCCCAAAACCTGCGGTCCATATCCTGGTGGTTGAATTTTGACCCATACCCACCTCATTGCCTGAGAAAATATCCTTAAACTATTTCCGGTGTTTTTTGGTTTTGTTTCTTCTTTTTTGTCATTTGTTTTTTTTAGGGAGACCCTGAATTTTACCAAAACAAAAAACGGGGGGGAAAAAAAAAGAAAAGAAAAAAAACGCCTGGCCCGGGGAAAAACCCGGGGCCAAAAAGCATCCCACGCCTCACCCCCGCCCCGGTCCTAGCAAGGCCAGGCCGCAGCAGCAGCCGCCCAGGCACCGCAGGCGCGGCCTCCAGGCCCCGATGGAGGTCACCAGCCTCCGCTCGAAGCTGCCGTGGTTCTCCCCCACGTAGGCCTCAGCGAAAACCCCCCGACGGCCCAGGCGCCCGAAAAACCGGCGGGCTTTTTTCTGGGCCTAAAATTATGTGTAAATCAATGAGGGTAGTTCAAGGCGTGTGTTTTCTTTGGTTTGGTGTTTTCTTGTTCTTGATATGTGTGGTAACGAGAAAGCTGAGAACGGTGACCCCCTCAGACTGTGTGTGTGTGTGTGTGTGTGTGTGTGTGTGTGTGTGTGTGTGTGTGTGTGTGTGTGTGTGTGTGTGTGTGTGTGTGTGTGTGTGTGTGTGTGTGTGTGTGTGTGTGTGTGTGTGTGTGTGTGTGTGTGTGTGTGTGTGTGTGTGTGTGTGTGTGTGTGTGTGTGTGTGTGTGTGTGTGTGTGTGTGTGTGTGTGTGTGTGTGTGTGTGTGTGTGTGTGTGTGTGTGTGTGTGTGTGTGTGTGTGTGTGTGTGTGTGTGTGTGTGTGTGTGTGTGTGTGTGTGTGTGTGTGTGTGTGTGTGTGTGTGTGTGTGTGTGTGTGTGTGTGTGTGTGTGTGTGTGTGTGTGTGTGTGTGTGTGTGTGTGTGTGTGTGTGTGTGTGTGTGTGTGTGTGTGTGTGTGTGTGTGTGTGTGTGTGTGTGTGTGTGTGTGTGTGTGTGTGTGTGTGTGTGTGTGTGTGTGTGTGTGTGTGTGTGTGTGTGTGTGTGTGTGTGTGTGTGTGTGTGTGTGTGTGTGTGTGTGTGTTTTCGTGTATTTCAAGTATATAGGCTTTCTTGTGTGGTCATAAGTTATATCTGTGTTTTTTTCGTGTTTATGTATCTGGTAACCTAAGGGGTGAACATATAGGTGTCTATATAAAGTAAACCTTAGAAAGGTGACCCCCGAAACCTTACAAAACGTTAGACTATGTGTAGACCTATATGTGAGTACATATATATATATATATATATATGTGTTGGGGGGTTCAGTGCGCAAACTGCAAGGAGGTTGCCGAGTTGCAAAGTTCTCCACCTTCTCATATGCTCCCCTGCCATCGCCCACCCACTTCCACGATGCGACAGTGGCCGTGGCGGTTGGCTCGAAGCACAAGTGACCTGAAGGCGAGCGTGGCAAGCTTTCGGCTCGCAGGCGGTTTCTAGCGTACCTGACAAAGAAAGCTGAAATGTTTGTTCTTGCTTTGTGTCTCGGACAAATAAGAAAAAAGGGGGGAGGAAAAAAAGGAAGAAGAACAAAACAAAGAAGGAACACAAAAACGGGCCAGCATCCTCTGCGAAGGCTTCTTTCTCTCTTCCGAACCCTTCAATCCACCGGCCTATGTCGTCGCATCCCTCGCCGTGCTCCGCGTGGTCGTGGTGCACGACCTCGGGATGGCCGCCGTAGCCGGGCGGGGGCCGCACGGCGGAGTGATGGACTTGGCCATGGCCGCCGTGGCCTGAGCCGCCTACGACCAGCCCCATGGCCTCAGGGCACGACTCGCGACTGGGGCAAAACTCTCTATTCAGATCTACACTCCGGGCAAAACAGCATATCAATATATATATATATACATGTATATATAAAGATAGAGATATGTACATTTTTACATATGTATATATATATATATACATACAATATACACTCCGGTGTCACAATGTTTCGGGTAACCCTCTGAGTTTGGGCCAACCACTATCTTTTTCAGCATCTCAAGTGAGATCACGTTGGGAAAACGAGGCTTTCAGGTCCCGGTTACATCCCAAGACCACTCGACACGACGTCTGAGCTCCGGGCGTGTGCTTCAGCCAGGGCAGCGAAAGCTGTGAGCCATTTCGCAGCACTTGGCGTTGCACAGAGAACCAGCCGCAAATGTGAAGGGTCAACCGCAAAGAGGTCCACGGGTCCACTAGTTTTCTCCGTTCTCATTCAGCACATATCTGATTGGAGCTGCGCAGCAAACTCGACGCAAGCATCGACATGGGCCGCCGGCGTCCACCATGACTGAGCTCACGTAGAGCGTGACCATCCGCTGCTCCACCGACATCCTAAGGGCGCCAACAGCCCCATTCGCAGGCCGTGCTGAAACCCAACCCCAGTCGGCCGCTTCTTACCTCGATAACCTCGTGGATTGGTCATGGGAAACCTTCCAGTTGCAAGCTAGTCTGATAGGCGAAAATCTAAGCTTGCAGCTGTTTATCTCCATGGCGACTTTTGGCAGGAACTAGGATGGTCCATCCTGACATGGAGACTGAGATGTCTGACCTTGCGCCCACGCCCTTCGATTCTTCCGCGGCTAAAGCTCGAGAAGATCCATGGGCCGAGTGCCTGAAACACTTGAAGGAAGTTAGCAGCAAAATCGCCGACCGACCCACGATTAGCGCAGGCAAACCGGCTGGCAACACCATCTTGCACGGCCTGGCGAGTTTGCAAGGCACAATAATGGAGTGGGGCACAAAACCCTTTTCTCATCCCAAAGTGTCCTTTTCCCTTTGCAGCAAAGAGCAACTTGAAACACGACAGTGAAAAAAGAGTGTGCTTTTTCCTGGAGGGCGTGGCTTTGTCAACAATGTGGTGCGCTCGTCTCCTTGATGATCTCCAAGAATCCAAGAAGGGTCGGCTTCCTAGTGCCGATCATTATCAATCCTGGTGACCAAGATCCTGCATACAATCATCTACTGATGTGTCGAACAGGTTTAGAAAACGTTAGGACACCGTATCCGCCGACCCCTTCGTGCCAAAAGGGGAGGCGCGCGGGAAGGGTGGCAACAAATCATTGATACACACATCATGAAACCAAAGTCACACTCGTCAAACAAACCATTTTTTTTAACCTGATCATTAGACCATCGGTGGCCCTGCTGGTGATTGCTGGGGATGTCGCGGCTCTGGAGATGCCAAAAGGCGACATGTTTCGTGTCGTTCCAGATAAAAACTTGTGTTTAAGGCAACCCTCAGCAGCTTTTTGTGTCGTCCCTCACTAGCATTTGACATCCCCAGCATCACCTGTGTTTTAACAAAAGAGATGCTTTTCTGCTTGGAAAACGCAGATGCTTTAGTACAAACATATCGTCGTCACACACAAAAAGAGGCGTGAAAAACATGGGTCGTGTTAACGCCCTTTGGCAGTCTCGCTCCAACGTGAAATTCTTTCGTTGGCAACATCCGTACCCCAAGACAATACAAACTTGGTTTCGTATCATAACGCCTATACCTGTGTTTCTTGCTTGGGATATATGTCTCTATATATATATATGTATGTATATATATACAAACACGTTATGCTGTGTAAGATGCGTTCAGATTGGGGTCGACGCCACAAAAAAAAATGACACCAGGCCCCGCTTGCGCACCTGCAAGCTTTTCGGGGCAAGCCGCTCAAAGGCGCCGATGGTCGGAACCTCCTGAGTCCCGGGCGCGAGTCATGTTGTATTGGGGGATCTTAGGATCTTTCTCTAGGGGTTGATGTTCCAGTCTTTTCAACCATCGTTCTTTTCAAAACCAGCTGGTGTTTTTTTTATGCCTGGAAAGAATGGAAATGGAAGGTACCCCAAGAATTTCCTATGATCCATCAGGATGTGAACTGGGAACCTTGGCTGGTTGCCTAAAGGGAAGCAAAGCTGGGCCCCCAATTCTGAGTGTGTTTTTTGAGGCAACCGGAATTTTTGTGTAGGCCTCTTGAAGGAGAACCCAAGCCAAAAATAGTTCGTCCCCTCGGATTCTTTTTGGCTCTCCCTTTAAAACCAATCCCAGAAATTTGACCCCCCCCCCGTCCCTTTGGCTGGTCTTTTGCAAACAACTCACAGAAAAGTCTGCAACTGTCCTGCTCCAGCGGCGACTTTTTGATGGCCAGGCCGTTCTTGGAGCCCAGGTCGCCTGAGCCCGATTCCGGAAAAAAAGAAAGAAAAAAAGCCTCGCTGGCTGCGCTCCAGTTTGGGGAAAAAAGAAGAGACAAACTCGACATCTGCAGTCTCGCTGGGTCCCAAATTTTGAGCTACCTCCCCTCCCGAAAGCTGGCGTTCCAAAACGACATGGCAGTTGTCCAATCGAGGCAGGCACGGATGCAAAGAAGTCCAGACAGCCTCACGCAAATCCCGAGTTTCCAGCATGCCGCCGTTGGTTTCTAACAATCCGAAATGGGGAGAGTGCATCATTGATGCACTGGAAACTGGCTTTCAAACATGGGCGTGCCTTTTTTGGGGGGACCCCCAAAATGGTGGTTGTCCTTTTGGTTTCGCTTTAACAACCGCAAAAAGGGGTCAAGAAAAGACACCCCCAAAATGAGAACCCCCCCATGCTTGGCATGTTTGCTTTCCCTCAAAGCCTCGACCTTGCGCTTCGGCTGGCCGAAACCGCTGAGGCTGGCGCTTGATGTCGGATCCCAGGATCACCTGCGAAGCTGGGCTGTGGCTGCCCGGTGGGTTAGCCGCCCGGGTCCAACGGGTCTACGGAACCGCTCGACATTGAGGCTCCTTGTGGCAAGAAGCTGCGTGGATGGCAGGAAACTTTGAAGCCGTGACGTGGGCAAGAAGCAAAGGGCCCTGCGGGGGTTTCTATTTGGGTGTGCCTCTTTTTGAGTTGGTACCCCCTTTTTGTGGGTTTAAAAGGAAGACCGAAACGAAAGCCACAATTTTACGGGGAGTCCCCTAAACAAGAGACACACCCATGTGTGGCCCAACATAGGCATTCGCCTCGCCATTTGTCGACTTCCCGCACGCCTCCTCTGGCAGCTTCTCCCGCAAGCAGATCTCGGCCTGGGAAACGGGAAAGATGGGGCCCGTGCGTCACAGGGACCCAAAGCGTGGTTGTCCAATTAATTTTCCTTGACAGAACTCTCGACAAAAAATACAGGCACACACAAACACACACATGTGTCTTTTTACATAAAATATACGTGTATACGCTACTACCCCCTGAGATGTCCAGGCTGTTTTTGTTTTGGTGTTTTTCTGGGCCTTGCGAATTCCTAAGCAATGAAACGCCTTTCAATAGCTAATTTGAAATGCAAAGCCACATATGTTTTCTTTGTGTTCTCGTTAGAAGTAAGCTTTATTCTAAAAGCATGGCCTGATTAGAACTTATTTATATTCCTGGAAAAGGGAAAAGACATTCTGGGAAAGGAAGCCCTCTTTAGATTTTGTTCTGAAGTAAGAATCCCAGTAACGAAACCTTTAAAAGAAATTCTACTTACAACGTCTTGAAAGCTAGACATGGAGCTAAGACTTCTTACTTTTAGTTTCTGTTTGTTTTCGACTTAAAGATTTCAAAAATCAACCCTAGCAAAGCAGACTATCATTTTAACAAAACAAAAATCGATTTACCTGTTTCTCTTAGAAAAAACCTATGTAAATCTTGTCAAAGCCAGAAATTCTGCTAGAAGCATGTTCTTATTAAACTCTGTTCAAACAAATCCGCCGACCCCTTGGAGCGTGCGAAGGGTCCACTGCATTGGCTTTGGCTGCTGCAAGCTCTCTGCCGTCTAGCACCCTCCGAACCTCATTTTCCGCTCCTTGTTTTCGGCCCCTTTTCGGCCCCTTTTCGGCCCTTTCTCGGCCCTTTCTCGGCCCTTTCTCGGCCCCTTTTCACACGCCGCGCCAAGCGCACGAAACGGACGAACTTGCACGAAACTGCATGCCAGAAAACTACGCAATCTTCATGAAACACAAGAAACCAGCCAGGTTCAAAAAACTTGAGCACAATTGGTGCCCTGCAGAAGGCCTATCACGGGCTCGCCGGCCCCCCAAAGCGCTAAGTCCCACAGCCGCGCGGGATCTGTGAGCCAATGGCTGTGAACATAAAAACTGTCACAGCCCCCCTTTCTACTTGCTTTCTTTGTGAACCGCAATGTTTGAACACCAAGCCGCCGAGCCTGTCAGGCTTAAAAAACGTTGCAAACCAATGCTATGATTCCACAGCCTCGCCGATGCACAGTAAGCAAAAAACACAATTCGCGCGCAGCATTGCGTCTCTGCCTGCAAACACAACACGCAGCGCCACAGATGTTTAAGGAACAAGAAAACCTCAAAACCAAAACACATCTGCGGTTCCACGCTTTTTGCATTTCTACCGATCTCTGCGGCTCCACACTTTTTGCAGGGGGAAGGAGGCAATTGACACACAATGAAAGTGGTCAATCTATTCGCGCTGGCTAAGCCCGCAAGACTTTAAGGCCCACCCACGCGAGTTTTGGCAGAGAGCGCTTCTGGAGAAGGGATTTCGGCCGCGCAACATGGGTTTTGGGGCCGCTTGCCGAGGCGTTCCACCTTTTGCGTGGCACATTTTCTTCGGACAGGCTTCAGGGTGAGGGTGTCTGTTTGGTACGGGCGTTCGTTGCAAGAAGTGGTTTTGAAGGGAAATTTAAAAACAAACCGCAGTTTTCGGAGCCCCCGAAGAAAGATCTACCCAACGTAACTGGTTTGTTTCGGCGTGGGCCGAAAGTTGCGTCTGAGACGCGTGCGCGCCGTTTGGGATCTTTCGCCGGGAGCGCCGCGCTCCCAAAAATTCGGCCCCCATGCAGGGCTGGGAAGTGGTCAGATTCCCTTCGAAACCCCTTCTCTGCCCCCTTCCCCCGTCAAATCCCGGTCAAATTGCAGGTGGTCAAACTTCCCTCTACAAACCTGTCAAATCACCTCAAAAAAACCCGTCCAACTCCGGTCAAATCCCCCTAGAAGCCGGCAGCAAAAGTCCCAGCCAAATTCCCTCGAAAATTGCACTTTTGCCTGGCAAGCCCACTGCCATTCTCAACACCTCAAGGCAAACCAAAACACATATACCTCAAGGCCAGCTAAAAGCGGACTGGCCGAGGCGGGCAGTCGCGTTTACAATAAGACT